CTCTAAACTTCTGTAACCTAATAATTTAGTCTCCGAAACCTTTTCGAGACTGACTTGGTTTCTTATAGTTTATGGACAAAATCAATTTCAAAAATTAATTACAAATTATAAAGTCTAGAAGGATGGAATGAATTGTTACAATTTAGAAAAAATAAATAAATAAATAAAATCTTTGAACCGTTGCAACGTAAAGCTGAATAACTAAATAACTTCATAAATCTAGTAATTCAGTCCACTCTGTACTCAAAATTAGATCCCAAGCCACCAAGTCTTGTCACCTTAATACAATAACCATGGATGAATTCTACTCATAGGTCTCGTTATTATTGTTCGTGGGGCGGGATATGGAGTACGAACACCAAAAGATTTCCAACAGATAGAATTTTTAATGAATGTTCAGTGCACGATTCAATTATAGCATTAGAAACATAGATCATCGTAACACGTCGAGACCGTTACCTGCTCGAACTGCCAATATCAAACACTATTACACACTCTTGTACTAACCACCGTGGTATTCTACAAAAACCTCATCAGTACACAAAGAGGTAAGGAGACGTAATTGTTCAAAGCAAAACGAAAAAAAATGTTCGTCCACAAGTAACGTCTAAATAATAATTTCAAAAATTCAGAAACTCCTTAGATATACATAAATCTGAGTAAACTATATGAGAAATCCCTTCCTGATAGTCCTAGCCAAAAGACCTGCAACTTTCGTATCATATTGCTAGTAAAGCCATTAACTACCTAATGTTCTAGCTATGTAACTCAAGTGAGATAAATACAATTACCATGGATGAATTCTAATCTCAGGTCTCGTCATCATTGTTCGTGGGGCGGGATATGGAGTACGAAACCGAAAGATTTCCAACAGATATAGAATTTTTAATGAATGTTCAGTGTACAATTCAATTATAGCATTAGAAACATAGATCATCGTAACACGTCGAGAAACATAGATCCTCAAACTGCCAATATCAAACACTATTACAAACTCTTGTACTGACCACTGTGGTATTCTACAAAAACCTCTTCAGTACACAAAGAGGTAAGGAAACGTAATTGTTCAAAGCAAAACGAAAAAAATGTTCGTCCACAAGTCACGTCCAAATAATAATTTCTATATGAGAAATCCCTTCCTCATAGTCCTAGCCAAAAGACCTGCAACTTTCGTATTATATTGCTAGTAAAGCCATTAACTACCTAATGTTCTAGCTATGTAACTCAAGTGAGATAAATACACAATCTCCTGATTGAATCCAAAGGCCTTCAGCCCTTCGAAGAACTCCTAATTCACACAAAACATGTTGCAGAATAGCTTCAAAAACTCAAGCGCATAAGAGAGTGCAAGAATGCCTAATTTCACAGTAATGTAGACTAACTTCATAGCAACAGCATAGGAATGATGTACGAATGATGTACGAATGATGTAAATTTCTGTACCTCCCTGGATATGGTGTGTGGTAACTTAATTCGGTCTAGTCTAAGGCTCATCACGTGTACATAATAAATTTATAATAACAAAAAAATTGATAACCCTGTAAAGCAATTCAATTGCCTGAACCTCGTAAACTTGATCTCTTTTCTTTCAATTGGTAAAAAAGAGAACGACTCAACAAATGAAAGAAATTCCAGCCCGTTTATCTGCATGAGTTAACGTAATTAGCAAAAATCTTCTAGCGGAGAAAAACCTTTTTCTGAAAGGATCTAAAGGGAGTTCCTCCAGGGTGAGTGCTGCCCAAAAACTTTCTGGATTCTCATTGGAGAAAGACTCTTCCCCGGGGAAGAACAGCAAACAAGAACTTCTAATTATGACGATATGGACATGTTAATTATGATTTAATCTATTTTGACCATCAACAGAAAAACACAAGGGGCCTTTCCACAAGATCCACAAGTCGCAACCAAAGGCATGAAAGAAATGTCTTTCACTAAAACTTCAAAATTATAATTCTTATAAAGAGCGTATGTTTTATCATTTCCGGGACATTCAGAAATCCAAAGATTCGAACTGTATGCTAATCCAAGAACAAGATCAATCAAACTGACCTACTTCTTCGTCGGTTTCTTCTTCAAAGCCACCGGCTCTTGCGGCTGCGGCTTTGGGTATTTTTCAGCCACGATAGGATCCAGCCATTTGAGGGGGTGGCGATTAAAGAAAGGCCAATTCGGAACAGTGATTAGTGTGGTAAGAACCACACCGCCAGCATAAACCAACATCATCATCCGAAACGATTCCATAACATAGCCTGTCAAAAAGGCCACCACCGCAAAAGCAACCAACATAATCTGCATCATCTGCTCCGCTAGCTTTTGCCCTTGCCAATCCATCTAAAACATGGAAAATTAGAAGATAATCGTCAGATCCAAATCGGCAGGAGGCGTAAGAACATCAATGAACAAAGATCAGTGAGAACTCCATAGAAAGATTTAACTATAATGAAAAGCCCTACCTATCTAGAAAATTGGAAATCCTTGGCGCTATGAACAAAGATTTAAAAATATACAAATAAAGCAAGAATGAATTCGAGAGCTGAGAGATGAGAGAGAGCAGTACCCTGTAGGCGAATTTGCAGACCGATGGGGAATGACTCGCGGGAGGAAATTAGAATATGACAATTGCTTTGAGGAATCAGACGAAGAACGCAGAGCGGTATGTATTTACCAGTTCTGATTCGGAAGAATTAAGACGTAAGATCTCAGCCGTCCGATCGATCCCCTCATCTACGCGACCGTGCAAACAGTATATACTAGTAATTAATTAGGATCGATTTCAAAAATTACCCTATTCTTTCGAAACATTTAGGGTTATTATTTTTATTTATTTATTTTAGGTAAACATAAATAATTATTACTTTTATATTTCATAAATATTTCAAAATTATGATCGAAAAATAAATACTTTAATTAAAATAACAAAAGAAAAAAATAGTGTTGTACCATATCTCACATATCAATAATTTAAATTCAATTATATAAATAATTAATCATCAACCTCTTTCCGTATTGGTCATGTTTTGGTATTAAAATTTCTGATAGCAACATATATAAATAATTAATCATCAACCTCTTTCCGTATTGGTCATGTTTTGGTATTAAAATTTCTGATAGCAACAAAGACAGCCGTTCGATCAAAAGACCATAACCTAACGAAACCAAATTTTACTACTAGAAACTGATAAATAAGTGATTAAAAAATTATCAAGTGCCAACCCCGGTTTGATCCACAACCACTACCGTAAGTAAACTGAACCCAACACAGAAAGTTAAAAAGAAGTCTCGATTTGCTTAGAAGGAATGAATATCCAAAATTTATAAAAGAATTCCCAACATAACGAACACGATCCCGATACCATAAACTACAAGATTAGGGGGAATGGATACGGAAGAACTCATCTATAGAATGATGAATGTATCAAAATTCTGTTTTAAAAACAAATAATGCAGTAATTATATTGATCAAGATGAAGCACCACTGCGGAGAGCTTGGGATTTTTTGGATTTACTCGTTGCCAACTGGGTCTCAGGCTGCAACCAGATAAAGAAGAGTTCAACAAGAAGCCCAAAACCTTATATATAAATATAAATTGCGTTAAATTCTGATCCAGATTTTACCTCTTTCTTGACGGGCTCTTTCTTTTCTGATAAAATAAGCTCAATGTGGCATGGAGATGACATATAGGCTGCAAAACAAAATATCAAATTCAATAACGTATGGTTGTAATGTTCTAACGTGAAACGAAATAGAGTTTTATTTGGGATCTTAGAAACCATACGGTTAATTCTTCCGTGAGCTCGGTATGTGCGACGCCTTTGCTTCTGTGCTTGGTTCACCTGAATGTGGGATATGATGAGAGAATCAACGTCCAGTCCTTTCACCTGGATGAAGATTTAGCATGTTCAGAATTCAACGACATAAAACTCAGGAGATCCATAAGCAACTGAGGGGTGGGGTGGTAATACATACTTCAGCGTTACTCTCAGCATTCCTAAGAAGATCTAGAATAAATTTTGCAGATTTAACAGGCCAGCGTCCTTGTCCATTTGAATGCCTATTTTTTGCCTGTGCAGTTCGTCCGACACCTCCACAGAAACGTCGGAACGGAATAGCCTGCTTGTGGGCGAGAACATCCTCCAAGTACCTTTTTGCCTTGGCCAAGGGCAACTTTCTGAGGGCATGTGCAGTCTCTCGTGTATTCTGTAAAACACGAAACAGATTGACGATTTAGTAATTTAACAATGCAGAACCCTTTGAAAGAGCCAACTGAACCATTTGATAGATCCAAGATTTAAATACTATATTTCAAGCAAATTAGTAAAGCAATTCAGATGCCAGAGACTATAATCTTTTACAATAAAATAATTTGAAAACCTATAATGGGGATGCTGACATTTAAACTTTGATCTATATTTGTTACACTAGATATATTATGTTTGTGTAGCATCATTTATTGAACCTTTAGCAACTAGCTTTACAGAGGTTCACCCAATAACGATGCACTCAGTTTCCCTGAATTTAACGAGGACACCATTCACAGAAGGCAAGAGAGCCCTGCTTTTTTAATCAGGTAATTTAATCACAAACTTTCTTATAATCCAAGTAAATGAAACAATAACAACAGAACATGCTATAACACAAATGTAGCATCATTTACTGAACCGTCAAGCAACTATATCTACAGAGGTTCACCCAATAACAATGCACTTTGTTTCCCTGAAGTTTACGAGAGCCCTATTCACAGGAGGCAACAGAGCCCTGCTTTTTTCATCAGGTTACAGACAAGGGCAGATTCAGAAAATAACACTTAAATGAAGCAATGGAAAAATATCCTTCACATATTATGGAGTACGGAGTATAAATTACTAATAAAAAGTTACTCCAAAAATAAAACTAATGACACTGACCAAGATGAAGGCACATAAGCAATAACAGACTCTCTAAGGACCATCAATCTTTCTTTATATGAACTTACAGAAGTAAATGAAAAATACAACAGAGACTATGTAGCATCATTTACTGAACCTTCAGCAAATAGTTCTACAGAGGTTCACCCAATAACAATACAATCAGTTTCCCTGACGTTTACGAGAGTACTATTCACAAAATAAGCAACAGAACCCTGCTTTTTTCATCAGGTTGGTAACAAAAAATCTCATATAATCACCACATTCCTATCTTGCACGTGCAATCCAAAAATAATCAACCAGATATATATTATCACAGAAAGCTACAAATTATGTAGCATCATTTACTGAACCATCAGCAATTATCTATACGTAGGTTCACCCAATAATGATACATTCGATATTCCTGAAGTTTACAAGGGCACTATTCACTATATAGGCAACAGAACCCTGCTTTTTTCATCAGGTTCGTAACAAGAAATCTCATATAATCACTACACTCACGATGTCAAATTATATTACTGTAAATTATCTATCTTGAATGCACAATCCAAAAATAAACGATCAAATATATATTAACATAGGAACTACAAAGATTATGTAGCATCATTTACTGAACCATCAGCAATTATCTATACATAGGTTCACCCAATAATGATACATTCCCTATTCCTGAAATTTACAAGGGCAATATTCACGATATAGGCAACAAAACCCTGCTTTTTTCATCAGGTTCGTAACCATAAATCTCATATAATCACAACATTCATTACGCCAAGTTATATTACTGTAAATTATCTATCTTGCATGCGCAATCCAAAAATAAACAATCAAATATATATTAACACAGGACCTACAAAGATAATATAGCATCATTTACTGAACCATCAGCAATTATCTGTACATAGGTTCACCCAATAATGATTCATTCGATTTTCCTGAAGTTTACGAGAGCACTGTTCATAAAATAGGCAACAGAGCCCTGCTTTTTTCATCAGGTTGTTCGCAGGCAGTATTGGATGATCAGCACAACTAGTTAATTCAGTACACAATTAAAAAGTGTGTATGTCATTCCTCACAATCAAAAAAGTAAACACAAAATATTTACAAATTATACAGATTCAATGAAATGTCAATTAAATTAGTAACGTATTGAAAACCTATAAACTTTGCACTAGACTAACGGGCTTGGCGAAATGGAAAAATCAATGAAAGGATCAAACAGATAAAGCTCCTAAGCTACCTTGAAATGGACTCTGAGATCGGAGCCTCGTGCTTTACAAGCTGAGCAGAAATAAGAAGACAAGTATTAGATTACGTACTTCTAACATTACTCGAAAACTTCAAACTAGTGAAAAACTAAGAACTGTATGACGAAAAAATCATATGATACAAAAAGAATACGATAAGAGGAGAATAAACTTACACTCAGTGTGGTTGTCCGGCTCCCTTGAGTACTTAACCTGTTAAAAAGAACATGAACATCCAACTGAATTCAGATATTTACTGAGAGTGAAGAATCATAAGCATTGAACAGATATTACGAGGTGAAAAATGAGGTCGAAGATCTAGAAGAGGCACGGTACCATGGCGGGTGATGCTAATTCTTTGTAGTTCAGATGCCGACTTGAGAAACGCCAGCGACAAGAGAATTGGGCAGCAGAGTTTCGAGTGACTTATAGTAAAAGGGAAAACCCTAATCCTGAACCATTGAACCACTGAACCATGTGGACTTCTTATTTGGGCTGGGCTTGACCGGCCCACTATCATCTTTCCTCTGTCCAATATTTTATAAAAATTATAATTCGTGGGGTTATTGACAAAAATAGCCCCTTCTGAGTTTTGATTAGGGCAAATGACTGCTTTTGACCCTCAACTTCTAGATCACATGTGAAATTACATTTTCCCGGGTTGGGTGGTTGAGCTTTCTTTTATTATTATTATTATCATCCTCTAAAAAAAAATTACTTATTTATTATTCCTATTAAATTAATAACTAACATCTAATAAAATATAAATTTTAAATAGTAAATATTCTTAATATTTTTATAATTACAGTAACGTTAGATTATAACTCTATTTTTTTTGGTTCGTCGGGTTGACTCAACCAAAAAATGTCATTCCTTACACCAAATCGAATTTTCGTTTTTTCAAAAATTCAACTCAACCCAACTTCGTTCGAACTCGATAAGCTGATTGTATATAATTCAATGATAGCATTGTCTTCATAAAGCAACATTTGGGCAAGAGTACTCGATCTCGCGTGCATCTCTTACTTTTGTACTTTATGCCTTATGTGAGATTTGCAGTCATTCAATTGCACCTTATGTGCATTGAAATAATACATGAACACCTTCCAAGTATTTTTGGTGCACCGTTTAAATTATTCCTAGATTTTCAACTGTCTTGAGTCGACTTCTAGGTATTTATTTTATCGGAAAATTGGAAAATTAAATAACAATTTAATTTTTTTTTCTTTCCAAATTTGATGCCAACATGGTTTGACCAGTAGGTAGCGTGTCTAATTATTTCATTGATTATGACAGACAATATCCAACACATATCGCTCCCTCTTAAATCAGTGATATTATTGACGGGTAATAATTCACAATTTATAATAATTATAACTCATTAGAAGTCAAACAATAATTTAAAATAGGTTAATTAAGTAAGAGCCAATCTTTCAATTGTTTGCAATAGATTGGTTCCAATATTACACCTAATAAATCTGTTTACATATTTTTAAAATTTTAGAGAACAATTAAAAATAAGTTAAATATATTCTGGATCTCCTCATTAAATTTATAATAATTTAATCTATAAACCTTAATAAGTAACATGTTATAATGTAGTTTTTGTATTTTAAATTTATACCGATTTAGTTTTTACTGGATTTTTTTTTCTTATTAAAACTCATAATTTTTTTTTGTCTCACTTTATCATTATTTACTTAAACAATTTAATTAATGACATATTTGTTATGATTAAAATTAAATATTGCGAAATTTAAAAATAAATTTGTTATCAAATTAAAATTATATTTTAGATATTAAAAATAATTTTTTAATTTATACGAATTTCGTAAGGTTAGAAAACATAAAACACATAATTCCAAAAGATTTGGAATCCTAATTGGATGATACGTATCAACTAACAACCATTAACAAAAGGGTCACAGCGGCCACGTGCACGTGAACGGGGAGCAAGGCCACGTGGCGTCGGTGGCATTCATGAGTACGTAACTACCGTCGCTGTGTTCTCGTGTTTTGTTATTCCTCCGTTTTTCATGTCACCTTGGATGCTTCCGGTCGGGGCATTTTTCGGACAGATTCCCTCGTGGTGGGTAAAAAATCACCCAATAATACAACATCTTTTCCCATCAATAATAATCCATTTAAATTTCACATCAAAATTAAAAATATTAGCCTAAATTTATAAATACTTATTTTATCAGATAGATAAATAAATAAATAAATAAATAAATAAATATATATATATATATATATATATATATATATATATATAAACTTTTATAAATTTTAATTTAAAATAAAAAAATTATGTTATCGTTATTCTTAAATAGAAACGGATACTATTTTGTTTAAAAAATACCATAAACATTAAAAAAATAATATTAACACTCTTAATATTTATGATAAAAAAAATTAAAAAACTTATTACCAAAATATAGTTTCTAAATACATTAAACTAAATTTTATTACATTAAACTTATTATATTACCAAATATTTAATTATAAATTTTTAAAAATTAAGAACCAAGATAAAATCATGGAAATCAATAAATATATTTAAGATTAAAATTTCATTTTGATTAAATACTTAGTTCTATCTTAATATTTTAAATATTAAAATTTAGATCATTTAATAAATCTAAAATTTACTCTTTATTAGTTTATTTGTTGATTTTTGAAAAAAAAAATATTGAATATGCAATAGTATTATCTTTATAAATTTTAAAAATAAATTTGTATTCATGGGAATGAAAATATTATTAATATTTAGCTAACTTTAAAACATTCCATTTAAAAGAATTAAATTAGTATTTATTTGAAGTACTTCAATAAGATTTATATTAAATTTGGATTATGAAAGTACAAATATTAAAAGAAAATAATATTTAAAATACGGATTTAAATTTTAAATTCCCGTATTGTTGGAAGAGAAAAAAAAAACGGTCTTAAGAGAGCAAAATAGAAATGGTTCACCCGCGAGAGCAATAGATGGAGAAAGAGAGAACCCTTATTCTCATAATCTCATTTCAGTTGCGGTGATTCGGATGATAATCGTCGGAGAAGAGAACTGAGAGTTGGAGGAATCGGAGAATTACAGAGATTATTCGGCGCTGAGATGAGCTTAGTGAACACTCACAGAAGCTGCGCGCCAATTCGTTCACTCTCTCCTTCTTCATCCTCCATTTCCCGCTGCGCTCACACTTCCTCCTCTGGTAATGCTCTCTCCATCCTTCTCGCAACGCCTGTTCTCTTTTTGCTTTTGTTTACCTTTGTCATCGTCCCATCTTTAGCCGTTACTGCAAGCAGTTGTGCTAGAATAGAATGAAAACATTTGCTGTCGTTTCTCAAATCGCCTAATTACAACTCATGAAGCACTTTACCGAACGGATGTGTAAAGTTGATTCAAATTGTATTTCATTGTTCGTATTTTTCGTGTTTTTCAGGAATACTGTAGTTTAGTGGCTAATTCGCAACTTAGTTAGAGAAATCACGATCATACTACATCGCGCTGTAGAACAAAAGAACAAAGGACACGGGTTTGATAATAATGTGATGAAATGAGATTTCTGAGTTATTCAGTGATATTTCATAGTGATAAGAGGAACGGACATCTATATATGTTTACAGTAGTATGATAATATCTACTTTGGTATAAACCCTCGTACCCTTGCTTTCTTAACCACCCAAAATTTCTCGTGCTAATGAAGATAATTTGTCCCACTTAGTGTAACAGTTCAAACCCACCGCTAGTAGATATTGTCCGCTTTGGTCCGTTACGTATCGCTGTCAGCCTCACGATTTTAATAAGCGTTATAAGAGGTTGATGGTGATACGTAACAGGCTAAAGTGGACAATATCTGCTAGCGGTAGGTTTGGACTATTACAAATGGTATCAAGGTCAGTCACCAAGCGGTGTGCCAGTGAGGATGCTGGCCCCCAAGGGAGTGGATTGTGAGATCTCACGTCGGTTAGAGAGGGGAACGAAACATTCCATATAAAGGTGTGGAAACCTCTCCCTAGCAGACGTGTTTTAAAATCGTGAGGCTGACGGCGACACGTAACGGGCCAAAATGGACAAGATCTACTAGTAGTGAGCTTATGGTATCAGAGCCAGTCACCGAGCAGTGTGCCAGCGAGGACGCTGGGCCTCCAAGGGGGGTGGATTGTGAGATCCCACATCGATGGGGAAAGGGGAACGAACAGTCCTTATAAATGTGTGGAAACCTCTCCCTAGTAGACGCATTTTAAAATCGTAAGGCTAACGACGATACGCAACGGGCCAAAGCGGACAACATCTGCGAGCAGTGGGCTTGAGTAATGAATCTCTCTTTTCCCTAACCAACCCCTTGGCTCTACACTGGCGTCAATTGTGCCAGAAATGGAACCAATAGGAGAAGGTTCATTATCTATTTAGGGTGGAATCAACATGTTCATTTAGCACTTGCTATTTTGGATCCTTTAGGAATATACTTACATGTATACCATTCTAAACGATCCCTTCTCATTCTTAAATGTATGTTCCCTGGTTAACTCGTTTTAAGATGCATAATCAGCCTTCTTTGGGAATTACTGCAAGTTTCAGTCAGATGCACGCAACACAACCATAACTGATATAGTGGTTTTTTCTCTATAAGACTGGTTGCTAATATAATTTTTTACTGCCTTGGGAATTACCGTATTGTTGTCATGGCATATAACCTTGATAAATAAGAAGTCATCCTCCACGAGCATAGTAAAATCATCAGGAGTGGTTCCTACTTAAGCTGCTGTTATATATGGCTTTTCTCAAGTGTGATTCACAAGTCAAGTTATTTTATGGTTTGTTTCAGTCAGGATTAAAGGACATCAAGCATGTATTGGCTGATATAGTGACAACAGTTTCATGACTGAGGTTAAATTTGAATCTCGATGGTTTAACGTGCAGATCATGTGACGTGTGGAACACCAACTTGGATTGGGAAGGGAATCACTTGCATTTGTTTCAAGCGGAAGGGAACTTTTGAACGAATTTGTATCAACCTGACTCCAGTACAGGCAAGTAAATAAAAAAATAAACTTCCAAATTGATTGGAGTAAGAAGGGGAAATAGTTGAGAAATAAACCATAAAGTTACCACTTCCATTGTGGGCGTAATTCTTGATGAATTTATATTGATCCTTGACATTCCCACTCTTGTTTGTACTGTGAGTCCCTTAACTTGATGAAAATCATTGTATTGCTAATATCCTTAGAATAACATTTACATTCATGATCTCAGGAAGATAGGCTAAGAAGATTAAAGCAGCGCATGAAGGTCTACTTTGATGGTTCAAGAATCGACCACCAGGTTAGTTTAGTACTCAGATGATTCCTCAAAGCACACCAACTTGAGTTCATGTGTGGAATAGTTTCTAAACTATTAATAACATTTGCTTCTAATGTCATTTTACAAAATCATTATGTTATTACTTTTACGTGTACACCTTGCTTTCTAGAATACTTATTATGAAAATTTCACCAAGAACAGGAGGCTTTAAGAGCTCTGTGGTATGCAGCATACCCTGATCAAGAGCTTCAGGCGTTGGTATCAGATCAATGGAAAGAAATGGGATGGCAGGGAAGAGACCCATCAACTGATTTTAGGTTGTTATCTCATGTATTACCTTTTGTCATGTTATCTCCTTTTCATTGCTCTGAAAAGCTTTTACCTAACCCAGAGGAGCTGGATTTATCTCTTTGGAGAATTTGTTGTTCTTTGCAAAGACGTTCTCAGTAAGATCTCAAACTTCATTTCACTCATTTAAATTTTTAGTTTATTTTCACCTGATAGGGCCAAAGAGTTTATGAACTTGGTAAAAAACTCTCCATTGGTCTCGTTGGGAGATCCCACATTGGTTGGGGAGGAAAACGAAGCATTCTTTATAAGGGTGTGAAAACCTCTCACTAGCAGACGCGTTATAAAAACCTTGAGGGAAAACCCGAAAGGAAAAGCCCAAAGAGGATAATATCTGCTAGCGGTGGGCTTGGATTGTTACAAATGGTATCAGAGCTAGTCACCGAACGGTGCGAAACATTGGTCGTAATACGGCTAGACCCTCTCCATAGTAGACGCGTTTTAAAACCTTGAGGGAAAGCCCGAAAAGAAAAGCTCAAAGAGAACAATATCTGCCAGCACCAGTGTAACATTTTATCATCCTTTCACTAATCCTACTTTTCCCTTTACATTTCAGACATCTTTCCAATGTCTATTGAGAAAACAAGGAGGAAAGCCAGCAGTTTGGGAATATCCCTTTGCTGTTGCTGGTGTAAACATCACATTTATGCTAATGCAAATGCTTGATCTTGATGTTTGTGAGTATCAAATCCATTTATGCATACACGTCCAAAGCTCGAGAGACCTCACAATCTTTATACGATACATACGTTACTCCTCTCATTTCTAATCAATTTAATGCAGCAAAACCAAGGACCTTTATCAGATCAGTTTTCCTACAGATGTTATCAGGTAAATCTCAAAACTTAATCCTGCAACACATCAAGTTTGAACTTACTTATCATATGGTATTTTCTGCTAAACAGAGAATGAATGGGCATTTGATCTGCTTTACTGCGTGGCCTTCGTTGTTATGGACAAACAATGGCTGGAAAGAAATGCTACCTACATGGAGTTCAATGTAAGAATAAATATGATACCCTTCAAGATCTAAAAAATTTCACTCTGCAAACAGAGGTTAGTAAAAATGAGATAAATAATCAAATTATCTGTTTGTGGTAGGATGTGTTGAAGTCCACCAGATCTCAGTTGGAGAAAGAACTTTTGATGGAGGATGTATTACGGATTGAAGATATGCCTTCTTACAGCCTTCTTCTAACACTGGATTACAGGTAGAATAAACTGTCACACTAATTACTATTTGTTTATTTTGATGATATTAGCATCGAGGGGACAAAATTTAAAAAAAATATAGAAAAAAAAAAAAAAAAAAAACTGTAGAACCCTAAGAAATACTAGTGCCTAAGTTACTTGATGTTCCTTGGATTGTTACAAATTTCAGTGTAGGTAGATGATGTTATGTTGTGGCCATGCCACTGATTATGCTGATGCTATTGTTATTATTATTAATTTTCATCTCGGTATTGCCGACTTCTATATTTAAGGGATGGATGAATCTTTTTCACAGTAGATCTCACTTCGACACTTTTATCATCATGTTCGATGATTTGAGCCGGTTGGAAGTCTCTTCTCAATGAGGGACTTGCATATCCCATGAAAGGGTCTTTGAAACAGTGATCAAAGATTTCTCTAGACTAGCCTGAATGAGCATAGTAGATCGTTTTAGAAAAGATTCAAGACTTAATATATATCATTAGGTTTTCACTTCGACATTTTTATCATCATGCTCGATCATTTGAGCCAGTTGAAAGTCTATTCTCAACGAGTGTTGAGAAGGACTCGCATGTTCAAGATTTAGATGAAATTCTTGATAATTTGATCCCATGAAAGGGTCTTTCAAACAGTGATCGAAGATTTCTCTAGTTTAGCCAGCATAGTAGATCGTTTTTAAAGAACATGTTTAGCCTGAATGAGCATAACGTGTGTATGCAACAGAGTAGCCCAAAACGTAAATGGGCCTGGCCCAGATAAGTATGATGGGCTTTTCATAGCCCAAATATACTTTATTGAATAAAGAGGTCGGAGATTTGGAGTTATAGTATTATAATATTTTTCAAAATTTGTCACGTTTATTCTTAAAGAATATTCATTCATAAAAGAATATTTAATATATAAAGAATAAATGTGGGATCCTCTTAATTTTATAAACTTGGTTAAGTAATTTAAAATACTGTGGTCCAAACCGACCATAAACAGTACGGGTTTGGACCGTGAATCTCATCTGTCGCCACGTGTCCTTCTGGAAACATCTACTGGAATATGGAATCACGGCAAAATTACCTCTTCCCATCCCTGTCTGCTTTCTCCAACTCCATCAAATCCTTAGCCAAGAATAAGATTCTCCTAAAACCATGCGATCATGGGCCCCACCGTTGGCGTATCTTAACCGTTGGATGAGCGGCCGACGAAAAATCCAACGAACAGAACGCGGCAAATTACGCTAACGAATGGTCATTGTATAAAATATAAATTCAAGCCGTTTTGATCATCGTTTTCTTTCAAGCGAAGGGAATAGTGGAGTAGCAAATTTCCGGAGCACATCACCGAAAGGCTGTTGAATCTCTTTGTGTGTGTGGATAAAGTTTTGTTATCATTTGTTTTTCTTTTTGTCTACGCAAGCAATTGCGGTCTTGATCGATCGGAATTAATAGATGGAGAACGAAAGGCAGAATCTAGAGCTGAAGCATCTAGGTTTTGTTAGGATCGCTGTGATTCAGACGATTGTATGTGTTACGAATCTCTATGATTACGCGAAGCAGAACTCCGGACCTCTGAGATCTGCGGTTGAAAGTGTGGAGAGCGCTGTTAACACAGTTGTAGCTCCTGCCTACGAGAAGCTCCGAATCGCACCTGATGATGTTCTTGTTTTTCTTGACGAGAAGGTATTCTTTGTTTTCTTTAATCGTTTGGACTCTTTAGATGACTTTCTTGGATCAGCATGTTTATTAATTTTTAGATTGTTTTTTGCGATTCAATGGATTGTCGGACGAAGATCGTTCTGGCTGATGATTGATTAGATGGAGATGTTTTGCTTTCCAGATTTTTATTCACTAAATCCAACTCTGAAATCTTGATTACTACGATGAATTTAGTTCTCCAACCTTCTATATGATGAAAATCATCGGGAAATTATTTTCCCTTGAAATAAAATTAATTAAACTCAAGTGTCTCCGATTGGCCGACTGAAGTACAATTCATATATGATCATACCAGGTAGATACGGTTGAAATTTGAGTTTCAACGATCTATACAGGAAAAAATTGCGTTTAAATCTATTTCAGACTTGTGTAGAATGAATGAGTTTATGGCCGAGTGTGCGTTTTTTTCCCGGTCCTTTCCACGGAAGAAGATCAGTGAAGATGAAATGGTGAATTCGTTCGTAATTTATTCGAGGGACTATTAGAGTCTACAGTAAACATTATGTGTTCTCTGGGATAATGATTCCTGGCTGAAATGAACATTTCTAATCATGGTGGGAAGTTTGTTGCAGGTTGACAAAGCGACACATGAGTTTGATAAGCGTGCTCCTCCTCTGGCAAAACAAGCCGTTCAAATTACGCAGCATTGTATCCAAAAAGCTGCTCGAACTGGGCAAGAATTTGTGAATGAGTTTCAAACGAGCGGACCACGCGCAGCGTTCTACTATGCAGCGAACGGGTACAAGCAGTTGGTTCTAACCCAAGGAGTGAAGGTTTGGGCATGTCTCAACCGGCTCCCATCGTTCCACAAGTTCGCAGACATGGCAGTGCCAACTGCGGCTCAGTGGTTGGAGAGGTACAACTGCAAGGTGAAAGATATGAGGCAGAAGGGCTACCACGTCTTTGACTATTGTCCTGAAGTTCCTCTGAGTGAGATAGCTGAGGCATTTAAGCAGGGCAAGGCCAAGAAGAAAGAAGCACCTCCAACTACTCCTGAACAAGCTCCACCGAAGAACAAACCGGGTTCAGATTCCGATTCTGAATCCGAATCCGAATCCGAGTTGGTTTCGGTTCCAAACTAGAAAAGGGTTTTTAGTTTCAATACCTAATCACCTGGTTTGCAAGAGTTTATGGTTCATGTTCATGATGTTGATATGGGACTAGCTCAATGTTTGTATATAGTTTGGACAAATAATTGAAGTTTTAGTTTCCGTGTGCGTGGAGGAAGGATAATAAAATCAGTTATGTCTAGCTAAAACGTGGAGACACGAGTGATGGACGCAACACAATGCTGGCCTCAAGAACTACTGAACAAAGGGATTCAACCCCGATGCAAAGAAACATATCTTTTTTGGTGGAGCGAAGAAAAATGTTTTCGATGAACCATTCCATATCTGCTTTATTTATAAATTGAAGTTTCTGGCCTTTCAGGAACGACGGTACCTTTAGTTCCCTCCGAAGCTATATTATAGTTTGTTCTTAATAATTAAAATTTTCCGTGACTTGTCGACTTATTTTCAAAATGACCAATATTTTGATATGCTAGCCTTAAAACGGTTTCTAAACGTTGATTACGTAAATAAAATAGAAGTACATACTTTCCATCTCATTAGAAGCCACACTTTATGCATCTAGTTGGACAAGCCAATTAGAGAAATGTACATGAAGTTAGAGAAATGAATATGAAGGTTGAACGAAAGGCATCACAAGTGCGTCAAGAGTGTCGGTGTCGACAAGGTAGATGTTTTGACAAAATATCAGTGGTAGTAGTGGGTCGAAGCCAATACTCCCCGGCATTCTCCCACTATCTATTTCTCTTCTTTTTCTTCCTTTCCGCGCCTTTGAAGGTTGATTTCCGATATGATATGCTGTAGGTCTATGTCAAATGTGGAACTGGACGAGGAGTTAATGAAGAACTAGAAGGCCTCTTTATAGGGCAGCCTCATTCTTCTTTTGTCTTGTCCTCCACTGATACTCTAATAGCAAAGCAGTCCTCCATTTCGTCGGAATCAAGTTCTTCCTTAAATGAGCAGGAGCTATGATAGTTTGCAATAAATTTGAACCGTATCGGGCGATATATGGATATAAATAATGAAAAATGCATCCGATGAGGGCATTAGAAAAACAATGTGCTCAAATTCACCAGCTTGAAATATATCTTATGAGCTAAAAAGCACGTTTATTCCAGCACCAAAATCTCCGTTTGACAATACAAACCACAAGGTACTTGTCCAGTTTAAACAACAACAAAATAAACGTTCAAACAATTGCTTGGGAGCTTCCCAGATACCACCACAGATTTCAGAGCTCTACCAAACATCCTGCAAAGTATTTCAAGAACAACAACATCAGGGGGATCTATCTATTGGTATATCTCTCCAAAAGCCCAGAAGTTTTCAAGTTTCAATCAGTTCTCTAATTCAATCAAATTGGATACGAAAAAATGCACAGAAACAGAACCTTCACTTATCACTTGGAGTTATTGTTGATGTCCGTAAGCAAATCATCGTAAGGATCCCTCCTACCAGGAACCTGACTAATTTGTGCGTCCCACCGCAGCTGACAATTGTGGCGCTCAAATGTCCAAAATCCGTAAGGACGGATTGGATAGCTCCACATCTCCTTCGTCTTTTGGCATCGATCCTTCACCGCATATACGTGCTCCCGGAACTTCCGATCCCTCTCTTTTGGATCCTCCATGAGTCTTAGTACCAAATTCTCAGCAAACTCCATGATGAACTTCATTTCTAGTATATTCCACAGACATTAACGAATCGAACGGGGGGAAAAAACGCCGAATAAACAATTATTGAACATGAAATTCACTTAATATCATGGTTTCCGCTCAAGAAAATCAAAGAACATAGGTGAATCAGACACAATCATGATCTATCCAAATCTTCTTTCTGAGAGATTAGCCAAGAAACAAACCCGATCGACAATTTCTCCAGTAAAAGCCCTAAGTTTATTCAACAACAAAAATTGGAAAAATTTTGAAGAAAATTTCCGAATTGAATTCACCTGCGATAAGAAATCAACATCAATCGAAAGCTTACCTCGAAAATCGATTGCAGGAATTAAGATTTCTTCCTCGGTAAATATCAGCCAGCAGTTCGCCTTTCGCCCCCGTAGAAATGTACTCAAAGATTGAGCAGAATACAAGAACGCCCATTATTTCCATTTGAAGCATTGCTAGGCCCATTCAATTAAGCCTCAGGCCCAAAGGCCCAAATACTCTGGACCTTGGACAACCTCTGGCCAGGCCCAATTAATGAATGTGATATTCCAATAATGTCCTTTCCTGCTAATACACATTTTCATTTCCAGAAATCCAGCTTGAAACGAAAAATAGGAGCCCTTGTTTTTATTATGGAAGTATTCATGTCACCGCTGATGAGGTAGCATCATTAAATATCATTGAATAAATAACAAAATACCATAACTGCTGCTTTGAAACAGTTTTTCTTTTCTTTTTCTTTTTTCTTTTTTAATTAAATTGGAGTTCCATTTCTTACCTAAAGATAAAATACTATTTATCATTTCAAATTATATATATATATATAAAATAAAACTCAAACGAAGGTTATAACCTGACCAACTCGAACTATCCCACCTAAATTACAAAGGTTGGGGTTATCAATTTAATTTGGGTTAAATTCTAAAAAACAATTCGATTTAGGTTGAGGGTTAACATTTTTTTTAGTCAAAAACATGACGAACCGAAAATAGGGTTATAACCCAACCCAACTCTATTTTATTCTTTAAAAATATAAAAATATTTCGATGTTAGTAATGCCCTATGACTGGCAGATGGTCAATATTTGAAATTTTTAATATTTTAATCATTAATGTAATACGACCGTAGATAAATAGGTCATTTGTTTTTTTTTATCCATAAACATAATGGGGTTAAAAAAAATTTATCCAATCCAACCAAACTCGTGTATACTTCTACCACATTTATTGAAAAACAAAATTCGTCGGTCGATGGTGTTAGAAAAACACGACTCTCCACAATAATATGATATTGTCCATTTCGAGCATAATCTCTCATGGTCTTGATTTGGGGTTTTTCTTGATTATAAACGCATGATTATTTCCTAAATTAGTCGATGTGTGACTTTAATCATCGAACGGATGTAATTTTGGGCAAATAATTATTTTTTTTGGTAAAAGAAAACGGTAATTTTTGTGTTGAAAAAAGTAAAAAAGAAAAAGAAAAAAGCGAAATGCAGTAAGTAATGAAAGGAAAGCAATCAGGAAACAATGAAATGTGAATGGGAGGATTTGGTTCACAGATTTGTTGATAAATGTATGTTGTTTAGGTCAGTGATTCCACCGCCCCCTTTTCAGACGCCACCTACTCTATTCCCAATTTACCTTTTAATTTCTTCCCCCATTAATTAAACATATATATATATATATATTTTTTTAAATATTTTAACGTCTACTGTTGGCGTCGTGAGTTTATGGTACCTTTTTGAACACCATTAACGAATTCCCAAACAACCTTTGTCGACCACTTCAAAATGTTGGACTCACCACTTTTTTTTTTTTTTTTTTTTAATATTATTTACCTTAAATGTATTATTGCCCTCAACCTTTTTGACTACACGAAAGTAAAATAAAATATTTTTAAAATAAAAAAAAATAGAATAATTATATAATTAATGAGTTTCTGCAATTTGTCATTACCTAATATTTATGCCCAATTCAGTGAATTCTTTCCCTTTTAAAGACACCCTTGATTCTTGCGATGCGGTTGTTATTTTGGAGGTTTTGAAATTTGTGAAGACGCTGTCGTTTTCAATGCCATTTTTCGTCCATAAAACACTCTTAATTATTAATTACTTTCTTATATATCTAATTTTAAATATAGCATTTTAAAAATAACATTAAGTTTAACAAATTTTACGAATACCCTTTAATTTTTTTAAAGATTAAAAAATACTCTACCATTTAAAAATTAGTATAAAAAAATGTTTAAAAAATTCGGACGAAAATTATTTGATAGATTATCTCTGAACTTTTTAATATTAATTTGAAAAAATAAAAATATTTTTTAATTAAAAAAATGGAAAGAAGGGTATTTTTGAAAGTTGATTAAATGCGAAGATATTTTTTAGAAAAATACAAAATTTAAAACTACTCTACTTATTTAGCCTTTTAAATACGTTTCATTATGCGGCGTTTTATGGTAGCCATCATGTCGTGCCACATTTACAGAATCCGGTTTTAGCAATCCATATTTGAAATCGAAACGGTGCCGTTTCAATGTGCAGTAGGAAACGGCCTACGAATATTTTTAATTCGAAAAAAAGAACGGAAAAGAAATTAAAAAAATGGATTTTTTAATCTGAAATTATAATTACCTAAATAAGAGGTAATTATTTAATCCGGTTTTAGCAATGCATATTTGAAATCGAAACGGTGCCGTTTCGATGTTCAGCAGGAAACGCCCTAAGAATTATTTTAATTCGCAAAAAAAAAAACGTTAAAGAAATTAAAAAATGGATTTTTTAATCTGAAATTATAATTACCTAAATAAGAGGGACCGGTGGTAAATTACTGATTGCTCTATAGTACAAAATTAGGCCCCGACCCTTCAAAAATATTAAAAAAAAAAAAAAAAAGGCACCGCCGCCCTGTACACAAAAGGACAATAAAAGCCCCGCCGCGCAACGCCGCGGCGATACGGCGGCCATGGTTACAAGATAATTAAACCAAAAAATAAAAATAAAAACATGGCCTTTTCGTCGTTCTTTTCCATTTCTTTATTCTCTCCCTTTATTTCCACGTCTCTCCGGCTGAAATTACGAGAAGCCGCCGACGTTAAGAAACGGCTACCGTCACTGTCATTTCTCGTTTTAATTTAAATTTTGTTTTTTTTTTAACTTTCGTCCATCATATCATCAACCCCGTCGGCCCCACCGTCACCGTTATCATCAAGCCAACGTTCCACAGGAACGCAATCCATCTTGTGGCGGAGTTTCCAATCCAACGCTTGACACGCACGTGAGCAATAGTTAACGGCACCACAAACGGAACATCGACGAAACTCATGCCGTCTCGTCTCTGGTCGGCCACACCCCACGTGCGAACATAGTCTCAAACCATCCCCCGGCGACCCCCCACGTGCCGCGAACCACTCCGCCAAAAACTGACTCGCTGGATGAACCTCTGGCGCCGGAATATTACAACCAAAATCGCTTAACAACGGACATGCAGAGCCCGTCACGTGCCGGTGGTGAGGATGAGGATTCCACGTCAGACACGTACGCGATGCGGCAACGGAAGACCCCGCCTCCGACGAAAGCACGGCGGCGAGTTCACGCGCGTTAGCCTGAACAAGAAACCGACGACCCTCCGTTATGTTTTGACGAACACCGTAACCGTCTTGTAGACAATGACCAAGTTCCCTAAGGGCATCGATGTGGCCGAGGAAAGCGGCACGTGCGCAAAGAGCAACTCCGGCACCGAGATTCTTGTCATTTTTGGAGCCACCACTGCCGTTGAACTGAATGACGGCGAGTGAGTAAAGCGCCGGCGCGTGGGAATAAATCGCCGCCTTGGCCATTAGAGAAGCCCCGCTTCCTCGATTTTGCAAACAGTAGAAACGAATCTGTGTCACATCAGAATAAATAAATCAATGCCCGAATTACTAATTGGTTTTAAAATGCACCAAAAAAAAAAAAAAAAGAATGTTTATAACTTTCAAAATAGGATAAGAATAAATAATTTTTTTTTTTTTTAAAAAAAACAGCAACAAAATTAAAACTAACCATGCCGAGAGTATAACAGGCCTCGACGTTGCCGGCGTCGGAGCACTGTTTCAGAAACCGGTGAGCCGATTCCGTCCAGTTCCGAGCGCTAATTGCAAAAATCTTCAGTGAAGCTCTTGATAATACAACGGGATTAAGTCCTAAACTGTTTAATCTTTTGCATCTGAACCCAAAATTAGAAAAGAAAATTCAGTTAGATCCAAAAACATTAACGAAATAAAAAATAAAAAAAAAACATACGTTAGCAAGATATTGATGAACTCGGAGGGGGAGGAAGCGGCGGAGCTGAGTTTAGAGAGAATAGAAATGACGAGATCGTCCGGCAAGGAATCAAACAAATCGGAAGTGGGTGTTTTTATGTCGGGAGAGGGCTTGTTCCTCTTGCGGCAGAACTGGCGGTCGGCGTCGGCGGCGGCATCGTGTGTTCTTTTTCGAACACGGTTGTCGGAAAAGAAGGGGGGTTGAAGACGAGGATAACAGAGGCCTCTTCGAGTTCTCATGGAGGATTGTTGTTGGGGTGATATCCACGCCTCTCTCGCTTTTTGTATGGGTAAAACTTTAAAACCAAATGGGAAGCGTTATATAGTCTGGACCAAATTATAGGTCCCCTCTTCGAATATAAACCACAGCAAACTAAGACAATGCTTGAGGATCCTAAAATATGATACCCAGCTGTCAGTAACATGGAATTTTTATGCTCTTTATTTATATTTCTCTTTTCTTTTTCCTTTTATTTATTTCTCAATAATTCTGTAAAATCTAATAATTGTTATTTTGCTGCTTTTTTTTTTCCAAATTAAAATTTATTAATTCAAAAAATAAAGTCATTGTGTTATTAGAATGAGTCAACCCTACGGATAATAGTTCAGAACCGATAGCTCTTATTAAGAATGTTTTGTGCAGTATCTCATACGGCGAGAAACAAGACATTATTTTCTGTTCTATGGACATATTTTAAAATTTTGAACGGAAAACTCTTAAAGTAACCGCACAATGAAGATAACTTTAGCCGTTTTAATAAATAAAACCTCTGAAATTTATTTTAATTCCCTTTTTTATCTGTAAGTGGAATTGAAAAATTTTCTTGGCGTCGTTATCAACTATTTAAGAATTTGGATAATTGCCAATTAAATATTTTTTCATTTATATAAATAGATTAATTTCTCAAAATTATTTTCTAATTAATATTTTAAAAAAATAGTCTAAATTTAATTACTTTTTACCAACCAACTCAAGGATATTTTGTATCATAAATTTCTACCAATTATCCTAAGGAGTCGCTGTAAAAAATAAATTTTAAATTAGGAAATGAATCTGAAAAAAAAAAAAGTTTCAAATTAGGAAATAAATAAAATAAACGACGTTTCACAGTGAATACTGTCTCACCGTTCTTAGCATGTAGCTTTCCGTAGTGAGGTCACCGTAACATTAGAAAAACAAAAAATGTTGTTAGGGTGAAGTAGTAATAAGATTAAAAATAAGTAATAAAATCCGGGGAAATGACGTGGATCCGTTGAAGTGATATTGACCAATTACGTAACACCAAGTGGAGCCCACCTGTCCCCCTCTCGTGGCTGCTTCTGGAAGTAGAGAAGTTTTTTCCTTTTTTTTAGCAGTACTGGAGGCCGCTGGAAATGGGTATTAATCCGTAGGGTCCCACATCGAAAAGAGGCCGTGTTAGAGTTGCCAACCATTCAACGCCGTAGATGTACCCCCGAAATCAACGTACCTGATTTCAAGATCTTTTACCATCCAACCTTTCAAAAATCCTCCCTATGGCTGCTACTTTGATTGGACGTTAAACGTAAAACGTAAAACGCTGCGTTTTGATGGGACATTTAGGGCAACAAGCATATCTAATCCTTTTTATTTTCTGACCATTTCCAAAAATATTATTATTATTATTATTATTTATTTAAATTCAGTCGCTTTCTTTCCCGTCTAAAGGAGATTTTCCAGAGATCGTGCTTTTAGTGTTTGGGGTATCCGAGGGGATGGCTTCTGGTGTTTGTTCTAATAAATCTTAATTTTATATAATTAAATTACACACGTGGCGCTTGGATAAGAAGAGATTTTAATTCAAGGGATTGGATTGGATTAGGACATCAACTAACTGACACGTGGCGTAAGACTGTGCATCCAAAGCTAATCCATTCTCCATCTACACAGCTTCCTCCACTGATACCTTCTCCTCCTCGCTCATAAAGATAATAAGGATAAAACTTTTTATTTTATTTTATTTTAAATTTTATTTTAGCCTTTTGCTTTTCTGTCGGACAAAGCATTGCCAGTTTTCCCTTGGTCTACTTCCGTGCACGTATTTATCTGTCCCTCGTAACATTGACCTTCGTACTGTCGCTTGCATTTCATAAATTCCAACGGATCTTTTATTTATTTCCTTTTTTAACTTTAGGAACACGAAAAAATATATTCAATGCGGTAAAGAAGAGAAGGAAACGGTAAAAAAAAAAAAAAAAAGGAGGTAATTAATTATTTATGGGAGATAAGGATTGAATTTCACTCCATATTAAATACCACAGGCCAAGCAAAGGTAAGTACTTGGACACGTAAAAGGTAAAAAAAGAAACGAAAAGCAGAGGACTGTGAAGGGTGTCACGTGATAACTTTGTCCCCCAAATTTGTATGGTAAAGTAAGCAACAAGACTCACTCACACGCTAACCACTGTACGACTGGGTGTGGGGGATCCCAATTCCCGTAGCCCTAAACCCACTCCATTTGGTTGCCTTTTTTGGCTTCCCCCAGATTTTGAGTGAATTACAAGGGTCCTTCAAATAATATCACAGTGGTTGTCGTCGTCGTCGTCGTTTCGTGTACTCCGAGAAACGCCCCACTGAAACCACGACACTCTGTACGACATGTCGTAACTGTATGTATTATTTACGTTAAAATTTGGGCGTTTTGTTTTCTTAAGCCAACTGGGATTATTTGTTTGGTAATGATGATTGAGAATAAGATGATGGGATGGGATATCATGCAATCCACATGCATGGGCGGGGGGATCCTCAGATCGCCGTTGAATCCTTTGACTATTTTTTTTTTTTTTCTATTATTATTATTTTGTGGGGGACAGTTTTTTATTTTTTGTTGAAAGAGAGCAGTTACGTGGGGTCCAGTTTGTTAGGCCGGTAAAGGACAGCTCAGCTTCATTGTTCCCTATTTCTCTGATCTATGATATTTACACGTGGCAGCATCATAGCAACGCCCGCTTCATTAGTGGCGAAATATTTTGTAGCCACGCGATCAAACCAACGGTGGAGATGTATGAACTGTCCATCAACCTCTTTTCTCTCGGTTGCCGGGATTTTTGGGTAATTATCGTTTCAAATATAAATTTTTAAAAAATAAATTTAATTATTTGGAAAAGAAAAAAGAAAAAGAAAAAAGGAATATATGGTAGATTTCTAGTTGATAAGAATGGTCTCCTTGACAGGTAAGTTTAGGGTTCCCAGTTTGAACGTGTTTCTTTCTTCTAGACAAAAATTGAAAAAAAGTTAGAAAGAGACTACCTATGTTGTCTTTCCACAAATAAATTTCCATTTTTAATTTTAAAAAGTTCGTTGAATTTTATGTCCATTTCTTTTTTTATTTTTATTTTCATTTAACCTGTTCAGTAACTTAATCATAAAAACTTTTATCCTACTCGAAGAGGAGAAGGGTTAGTGGAATTTAATTTGTGCATCGAAATCGAAACAAAGAAGAAAAGAGGAAGCAAGCAAACTAATGGAGTACCTTAAAAGGTTGTCCACTCTCTGCAGCTAATAATAATAATAATAATAATAATAATAAAACTTAGATTGTTAGTTAACCTCACATTCTTCATTCCTATTTTATTGGGATTCATAAAAAAAATTTAAAAAAAAAAAAAAACTTGAGAAAAACGAAAAGAACTATTTGGGGGTAATTAATAATTAAAAACGCAAATTAATTAGAGAATTTGATGGAGCAACGGCGTCGGAGGATGTTGCTTAACGTAATAGCCAACAGCTTATTAAGCTTTGCTTTAGAGTGCCCAATGTCCGAAATCTAATCACGAGCCGCACGTGATCCCCATCCCACGCTCGGCTCTGTTCTAAGAACTATATAAAATATGCACACTTGTTTAAATTGTGTCTAAATTAATTCTTGTTTTTAAAAATTAATTAATAAATAAATAAATCTGCCTTTAATCAAATAACTAACATGGCTTTAACGTAACAAGCAATGGTTCTCCATGGCCCCTGCCTATCATTGATTATCAATCAAGAATGCAAATAACCAACTCTATCAATTTATTTCTCAAAATTATCAACTAAAAAAATATTTAATAAAATATTTCTCCGAATTTTCTTTTAGTTTAAATTGCGCTTAGTTAGATTGTGGATTTACATTATTGTTTTTTTTGTCGAATCAACTCGATCCATCTCAAAAATAGGGTTACAATCCAACCATACACTACTCTACTTTTTAAGAGTATTATGAAAATTAATAACATTTTAGTTTGTAACTAATATTAGTAATAAACGGTGATTTTTTAAAAAATAAAAAAATGAAAAATAGAAAATGGATTGGCGGATATTTTGCATGCAAACAAGAGAATAAGACTGAAGCGGAGAGTTATACGTGGAACTGACGGGAGACGTTGATGTAACATCCACGTGTTGATTGCACGTGACATAGGAACTGAAGCGTTGACTGAATGTTTGACCGGGAGTATTGGTCACGTGATGAAGGAGTGACAAATGAAAATAGCACGCCACCTTCCTCTCACGCGCTTGTTTTTTTTTTTTTTTTTTTCCTTATTTTTTGTTTAATAATTTAATTCGTTAAGTAATTTTTCTCTTTACATATAAATGGTCACCGTCGGAAGCAATCATCTAAAACAACTTAAAATGACAGAAACAGCCCTAGAACGAAGGGCATTTATGGAAATTCAAAGTGAAAAGAGGTTCTTCACCGGTTGGCCGTGCAAGCAAGGGGGGAAAACTGAAGGGTTGCTTGATGCCTCCCAGTTCATAGACAAGAACAAATTTGGGGTTTACGTGCATGGTAAGTGAACCCATTCCAACTCCATAACCTTGTAGCTCACCCAATTATCTTCACCCACCTGTCTGCTTTGTCACCCAATAGGACACGTAGAGCCAATCATGTGTGGACACGTTGATGCCTGGATTTACAAGAATGACCAGAAATTCACCCCTTTGTTGAGGGCATAAACATATGATGGGGAGTTGAGGCTTTTGTTGCTTAACGCATTTGGCAGCTTGGGAAATGGCATAGGGCGGCCTCGTAAGCCGTGCAGACCACAAAATATAATCCCCGGCTGCCCCATCCATCACTATTTCTGGCCCCATTCATAGCAGGTTTGAGTCTCTTTTAAGTCATATCATATATGTCTAGGACGTATTGTCTATGACCGCATGCTTGTTTTAAATTATTTTTACATCCTTTCATCTTAGATAAGTTTCATTCTTTCACGTTATGTCAAAATATGAGTGTATGACCGATCACCAAAATTATGTCTACACCCTTCAAACTAAAATGTCTAAAAAATGTACTATAAGAAAATATGACTAGTCGCCATTTGTTCTTACCCGAATTATATGCTATCAAAGTCGTCATTGTTGCCTAATCATTTTTAAAACATTTCTCTCAAACATGACTCGTGACTCAAGCATACATCGATGTTATCTGTAAAATCTGAATTTCTCATGGCTGACTTGTTGCAATCATTGTCCTGTAAAAAGTGGGATTATGACAACCCTCCCTCTTTTATTTACTTTTTTTTTTTAATAATTACAAAAATAAAACCCTTCTTTTAATACTTAATTTATTATTTAACTTAGTACTAGGGTCACGTTAGGTCAAAGTCAATTAGAGACAACCGAGGTAAAAAAAAATTAAGCTGTAAATTGTAATTGTCATATCACGGGGGGTAAATTGTATCACTTCAGCCTAAAGGAAGCAGGTAATTGGAGAAAACATACGTAAATAACAAGTAACTTCTTGTTTTCCAAACGAATTTAATTCTTAAAATCTAATTCAATTCTAATTTGTCTTTTGAATCTCTGTAGTTTATTTTTAATTTTTTAGTTTATGTGGCATTGCGGGACCCACTTAATTTGTTGTGTCATGTGATGATGTGGCCAAAACTATTCCATTCAAAAACTATGTAATAAACTTTAAAATAAATTATCAAAATAAGTAAATATATTGGCTTTCAACTTTAAATTAATGAATTACAATCAAGTTCATTCTATTTCGATAATTTAACTCTGATACTAACTATAAACAATAACGTACGACAATAGAACATATTAAAAAATTAGCTTTTAAACTTCTCAAGTTTTTGTTAGAGTTTGAAGTGTGTTCGATTTTTCATTTTAATATTTCTACTCGTATCTGGTGAGAGAATGGACACAACATCTCCTCTCCCAATATGCCGTCCAAAACATGTTAGCCGTGAACATTTAACAGTGCTAGCAACCTGACTATGCTCATGAACTAAGTTAATTTCTCTTTTTAACTTATATATTTTTCAGAGTATATAGAACATCTGTCTACTCCTATCTATCTTCTCTTACTTTCAAGAAAATCACAGTCTCATCTCGATAAGCCACAATTCCACTTACGTGTGGAAAAAGTGAAAAGCTTTTTGTCGTCCTACGTCTAGCTAACCATACAAACAAGCCGATCAGTCTCCATCATTTGAAAATGTGGACATGGTTGTAGTCACGATCTAAAACCATTGGGAACATTAAATTGTATTCATTCAACCGAATTATTTTGTATTCCAATAATGCAAAGTTTTGATAAAATTCTTCCAACTTACTCATACAACTTTTGAACTTGGTTCCATCAATAATTAGCGATAGATTTCTTAATTTTGTCCCACATTATTTGGAACCCAAAGCAATAAAAATAATATATTTATAAAAAAAAATGGCATGTGGAAACATTATGAGTGTGTAGTGTGGACTAAATGAAAAATCTGCCCAAAGCAAAACGCACCGTTTTGTACATTATTTGTGAGAGCCAAACCTGACAAACAAAATCCGACAATATAATATCAGCTTTTTACCAGTACTTGCTCCTAGTCGAACCATGTAATAATTATCCTTATTTCCCCCAAATTTCCCAACAAAAAATAAAATAAAAATAAAAATAGAGATTAATAAGATCAAAACGCAGAATTTTGTCGTCGTATCGTTGGTAATTGATGGGAGTTCAGCCCATGATGCCAGCCACTGGTTTTTGTTCGCTTCTTGACTCCGCAGCTACAATGAAATTACAAGAATTAAACAAAATTTCACGTCAATAAATAAATAAATTTCTATTTTCACCTTATAATTTGCAAATAATAAATCAAAAGCTATTTTATTATTATTATTATTTATTGTATGTGTTTTTGTTGATAAATAACATTTTTTTTAAAATATAAAAAATGAATTAATTATTCTCTCTCTTTTTTTTTTATTTAAATAATGGATTTGGAAATTCGTCAGAAACTTATTTCAAACCGTCCTAGCAATTTCATGTGTTAAGAAACAGAATGATTTTCCCGACATGTCGGAAACAGACAAGAAATTATCATTGAAAATTCGTACATTTTGGTAGATTAAACCGTACAAAAAAGAAAAAAAAAAATGCATAAAAATGATTCTGTCCCTTTACTTAAACTCTTTCCTTTCTCTCTATTGAAAAAAATAATAATAAAATAATGATTTTCTGCAGTTGTTGGGCTTTACTGGGCTGGGCTAATAACAGGTTCCTGAAGCCCATTGGGCTTACAACTCGAAAAGAAGCCCATTTATCTTTGGGCTTACATATCTCCTAGCTTACTCCCCAAAATTTGACAGATCTGACAAGGAGCCATAGGGAGAGTGCCACGTGGCTACAAAATCTCAATCTGGATACTGGTTGGACCCGTTATGTAAGGATTATGTTTTGACACGGAGTTTAAACGAGAGCCAGAAATTGAGATTATTACAGGCAAGCAGAAACGAGTCGAGGTTGACGTGGCGGATATCGGATTCTCACTGCCACGTGGCAACGAATCAGCCAATTACATATTCCCTCTGCTATCCATTTAGATAAGCCTATGCGTACAATAACGAAGTGAGATTCAAATCTTCGTTACCATTTTTACAACTTTGGCAGAGCTAAACAGAGCGTTAAGTGATTTGACCGGAAATGGCCTCCGCTTGTGCTTCTTCCGCCATCGCCGCGGTGGCGATTTCTTCTTCCAGGCAAGTTTTTTCTCTTCCTCCGCCGTTTTTTGCAGTTCTTTATGGAGCTTTGTTTTTTGCAGTTCCCAGAAGAATGGATGCCCCAAGGTTTCTAATTTCCTAACCGGCAAGAGGCTGAGGCTGAGAAAGTACACTGCTGCGGCTGTTGCTCCTCGATCAGCTCCGGTGTGCGCCGCCGCCGACCCCGATAGACCCCTCTGGTTCCCCGGCAGCACCCCTCCCCCATGGCTCGACGGCAGCCTCCCCGGTGACTTTGGCTTTGACCCACTTGGTCTCTGTAAGTATTGTTGTATGATGAAAGTTTCACGTCTGATTTACAATCGAGTAAATACTATCTTCATTAGTTTGAGGCCTTTTAGAAAGCCAACACCAGAACTTAGGCTCAAAGTGGATAATATCACCGTATTAAAATTTGAAATTTTTAAGGTTGTCAAGATATAAAATCATAACTATGTTTGTTTGCGTGTACGAATATTGATAGCTTCTGATCCGGAGAGCCTGAGATGGAACCAGCAAGCAGAGCTGGTGCACTGCCGGTGGGCAATGTTGGGCGCCGCTGGGATTTTCATCCCGGAATTCTTGACAAAGATCGGAATTCTTAACACCCCGTCGTGGTACACTGCCGGAGAATTGGAATACTTCACCGATACGACCACTCTGTTCATTGTGGAACTCATTTTCATCGGTTGGGCCGAGGGTAGACGATGGGCCGACATTCTGAAACCCGGTTGCGTCAATACCGACCCAATCTTCCCCAACAACAAGCTAACCGGAACCGACGTCGGGTACCCAGGTGGCCTGTGGTTCGACCCACTCGGTTGGGGTAGCGGGTCACCCGAAAAAATCAAGGAATTGAGAACGAAAGAGATCAAGAACGGGCGACTGGCTATGTTGGCGGTGATGGGCGCGTGGTTCCAACACATTTACACCGGCACCGGTCCCATCGACAACCTTTTCGCTCACCTTGCCGATCCCGGCCACGCCACTGTCTTCGCCGTGAGTTTTTAATTAACTTTACCTTTAAAATAAATAAATAAATACATATATATATATATATATATACAAAATTGATGAGATTATTGTCGTTTTCTGCAGGCTTTCACACCCAAGTGAGGAACGTGGAGAAATTGGGAGTGAGAGAAAATGTCTGTATTAAATCACAACTTGAAATCCTTGTTGTTATGTGGTGTGTGTCTAATGGACATTATTATCAATTTAATGTACAAAATGAGATTAAAATTAATTAAGGAATATTTAATCAAATAATTAAATGTGGACTTTGTATGCATTAACATAACAATTGACTAGTGGATCAAACAAATCGTTAATTGATTATACACTAATTTCGAGTTCTAATATATTTAACATGCGTAACTTTTAGCATCAGATCTTTATTGGTTACGTTCTTGGTTTAAATTATTCAATGTTCAATCTCGTTGTGATGAATGTTATTACTTCGTTATTGACGTTGAGTGAAGGACTCTTTGTCGTAACCTTATGGTGTTTTGCATATGTGAGATCTCACATCGGTTGAAAATGATAGCGAAACATTTCCCTAACAAACGCGTTTTAAAATTGTAAAATTGATGAACATACGTAATGGGCCAACAGTGGACAATATCTGTTAGCGGTGGGCTTTGGACTGTTATGAATGGTATTAAATCAGACATGCAGCCGCGTGCCAACAAGGAAGTATGCCTCCTAAGACATGAAGATTGTGAGATTCCACATTAGTTAGAGAGGGAAACGAAATATTCCTTATAATGGTATGGAAACATCTCCCTAACAGACGTCGTGAGCTTGACGACGATACGTAACGAGTCAAATCAGACAATATATGTTAGCAGTGGACTTGTGTTGTTACAAATGATATTAAAGCTAGACACCTGACAGTGTTACAGAACGCTAAGCCCTTTAGGCAGGTGGATTACGAGATTACACGTTCGTTGGAGAGGGGAACTAAACACTCCTTATAAAAGATACGAAACCTCCTCCTAACAAATATGTTTTAAAATCGTGAGGCTGATAACGATACGTAACGATAACGACAATATCTGTTAGCAATGGACGTATAATATCATCAATATATTTTTTTTCACTTAATCCAACAATTTTAAATTACACTAACAGAGTATAAGCTAGGATTAATAAATAAGTTAATTAAGTTGGTAAAAAGGAAAAGCAAGTAGAGTATAAAAATAATTTAAAATAAAATAAAATAAACTAAAACAGTCAAACTAATAAATATAAATAAAAAAAAATACAAATTTTATATCTGCAAGTTGTTCAACTCTCTCTTCCTCCAGATGAAAGCAACCTTTTTTCATTAATTATTTAATTAAATTTGATTTAGGAGTATTAATGCATTCAATAATTATATTAAACCGTTTAATCCGATTTATTAAAGTAAAGATTTATTAATTAAACGAGAATGAACAAATTAATGAAGTTTAAATCAAATTCAGAGAAAATTAAAAAAGAATTAAAAATTAGTATAAAGAAAAGTATCGATTTCTATACGAATCTGGATTGAGTCGCGAATGGCTCGCTCGTTGTGAATCTCAACAACTCCAATTTTCAGAGCTCTCTCTCCGTCTCTCTCTCTCTCTCTGTAATCGCCGGTGATAATCTTGCGGAGAGAGAGGGAGAGAGAGAGAAATTACAGACGCTATTGTTTGTGTGAACTAATAATTAATGGTGGGAAGAGAGAATATTACAGTAGTGGCGGAGGGGAGAGGGGGGGAATTGGGAATCAGGAGGAAGAGGGGGGATAATTGGTACGGCGGACGGAGATTTGGGCGGGGATGGGGCGGCCGGTTCCAGAGCCACCGCAGCTGCTGCAGAACATGCGGCCGGAGCCAGAGCAGGTACGGCAGCCGATGTCGCGGTCGGACCAGCGGGAGCAGAGGCAGGGGACTCGACCGGTGCCGTTGCAGGAGGGGCAGCGGGGGGAGGAGCCGGCCATGGGTTTGTCCATCACGGATTTGACGAGGACGGCGCCGGCGAGGACGCTGAGGCCGGTGGCGAGTTGGGTGAGGACGATCGGAACCATGGTTGAGGGAGAGAGAGAGAGAGAGAGATGAGAGATGGAAGAAGGAGGAGAGGAAATGGGGAATGGATTGGAGATTTTTTTTTGAGACGATATTAATTTATTTTATTTAATTAAAAAAATATATATGAAAAGAAGAAATGGGGGAAATAAAAGTGGTGAGAAGGAGGAACACGTAGACGAAGGTGCAGTTGGTGGCTTTGAGCGAAGAACAAATTGTTGGGGGTAAAATTGGAATTTCACGACGGTGGGCTTTGCGTGGGTGACTTCCTTTTGCCTCTCTGTCTCTCTTCTCTCACTACGCTATTGCTTTGTGGATGTAGATTTTAGTTCAAAATCACTCTCTCCAGATTTTATTTTATTATTATTTTTTTAATTCCCACTTTCTTTTCTATTTAAATAGATAATTGAATAATTGAATATTATTATTTTTTTTTCTTTTTTTAAGATTTAAATGTTGCTCAAGTTTACAACTTGTGAGCTTTATTTATTAATTATCATTATTTTTTTAATGCAATCTTTTAAAAATTAGGTTGTTTTTTACACACTTTTTCGTATTTGGTATTTTCTAAATTTTATACTATTTTAATTACAAATTTGTAACGAATGTTTTTTTATCAAAATTAATGGATGATTTTATTTTTTTTGTAAATTATAAAATTATTTGGTCTATAATTATTAATAAAATTTAAATTCAGCGAAGTAAGTCTAGGGTGCTTTGTCTGATTTGAAAGGGATAATTCTAAAACTATTTATATGTTGCAGATCATTCACATGTTGAGATGGCCGAGTTGGTCTAAGGCGCCAGATTAAGGTTCTGGTCCGAAAGGGCGTGGGTTCAAATCCCACTCTCAACATTTATTTTATTCTAGTTTCTTTTAAATAAATTAAATTATTGTTTTGAGAACCCTTTGTATTATATTTTGATATGGCCGATTGGTCTATGAGAAATCTCACCAGATTTGAAGTCAATCGGATACTCGACGAACTATGCATCCACTCGCCGATATAACGTATATTCGAGAAAGAATGAAAATACCTAAAAATGTACTATAGGGGAAAACAGGATGGTGACAACTCTCCACCATCGTTGTGCTCTGTCTTAAGTGAGCTACCCTGTGACACGTATGCGTGTCATAGTGTGAGCGAGCGTCTTGGACGTCTTCCTTTAAAAAAGGTCTTTCAAGGACAGTACCAGACGACATGAGTGTGTCAGTATGCACATTAGCCCATATGTCGGAGGTTAGATTATACACCCGCTATCCAGAACGTATGTCGTAAATGGTTTAACATGGACACGGGAGAGTCTGATGCTTGGGAGAACCCAGATGGATGAATATTTGGGATTTTTCGATGAGATGATCGACATATGGGTCAATTCCCAATAAATGTGTCCGAGCAAGCCAAGATGGTCGATGTGTCTTGGGACATGGGATGAAATCACAAATATGTGTCGTGTTGTTGGGAATCAAGATGACGATGCAATGTGACTGTTATTGTGTCGTAGACGATTAAACATGCACGCACAAATGACGTGTGTGGTCGAACAAGCTTGAATTCCGCATAAGTTGTGTTCAGTTGGCGAAGGTAAACCTTATTGAAGGTCTGACAAAGCCACAAACCGAGACAAAATTTGTGAATGGAGCTTGAGTTTCCTTTAAAGGCTTATTGTGAGCACGTCAAGATCACTACACGGTTCAATTAGAAGTACAGATAACCATTAATATGATAGTTCTCATTAAATAAATCATAGATATAATATTTATATTAACAAAAAAAAAAAAAAAAACTAATTTTACCGCCATTTTTCTCCCAAACAACCAGAAATGTAAATTGATTCCCCGTATCATCATCTCTATTAGGGCCGTGGAAAGAAAAATATCTCTACTCCTGATTTCGCGTACTGCAAGCTATTCTCTAAGGTCAATTCAAGATAGACAACCAGAAATGGCCGCAAGCCGGACTGTGTTGCGTTCTGCCACAATATTCTTAACGGAGCCATCGCGGCCCGTTCTCGTCGGCCGTGCTTCTTCCTCCTTCTCGCTCGGAACCAGGCGAACGTTCACTCACAGATTGTATTGCATTTCGTGGAACACTAGGGTTCGAGGATTTCTCTTTCCGAAACGAACTGTTCTGACTTGCTCCTATGATGAAACTCAATCGACTTCCTCGTCTAATCAGGACGACCAGGGCCCTCCTCAGGAGGCTGTTTTGAAGGCAATTTCAGGTTTCTACCTGACCTTTATGCTACCAAGGCTTTGGAATTGTAAGCAATAAATCAATTAATTTCAGGCATCACCTCTTCTTATACACAAGTCTGTATAATTCCTTGTGTGAGCTTCTGCCTGTTCATATTTCTATTTCACTACGACTTTTGTTCATCTACGCGACATAATTGATTGCGAGTTCGTTTGGTTGCTGGACGCAGAGGTATCCAAGACAGAAGGGAGGGTTGGCCATACCACAAATATGGTACTTGGAGGAACAGTGACTGACGATTCTTCCAATGAGTGGATCGCTTTGGATCAAAAGGTATGGAACAGTTGCTCCATTAGCTCCAATTTATGTACAGAATGGCTGCTTCAAATCTTTTGATGGTTGCGTGTGTAGGTAAACTAGTATTGGCTTTACTGCAATTAGAAATAAGTAGAAGATAGCCATATATTTTCACCATCACCTTATAGTTTGCTTGATTATTGGAAAGGTGAACTCGTACCCGGGCGTTAGAGGTTTTACGGCTATTGGAACTGGGGGAGATGATTTTGTGCAGTCTATGGTTGTTGCTGTGGAGTCTGTCCTCCAAAAGCCAATTCCTGAGGTGATCATTTTCAGTTTCTTAGGTCAATTTAAATTACAAAATCTACCATTCACTTTATTCCGCAGATGTCTCATTATATGATGCCTTATATGTGTGGAATTTCTAAGAAATTGAAATTCATGTCTGCAGTGATTGATGAAATCAGGCAAGATAGTATTATTTCCTCTGTTATTTTATTCAGTGGGAAACATAGTCTTTCTGATTAATTTCAGGTATAAAATCTTGCACAAAATGACCTGATAATCAAAATTGGAAGACGTAACCTAATCTAATTGCTATTTCTAATTGGATTTTTAATTCTGCAATTGTTGAAAATAGCAACTAGTTTACACAAAGAAAGCTCTTGTACTTCAAATTGTAAGAGCTTGGTTTGGCTCTGGCTTG